GAAAAACAAGAAGGGCTCATGTGCGTGGTGGCACTTGGCTGCGGGAGTCCTTTTTGTCAGAAGGCTCAAGCTACGAACCAGACATGCTGAACATCATGCGAGGTCATTTGTGCGCATGTCTTGCTCTCTGGAGGTGTTCGCATGAATCGCGTGACGTACAGCGCGGTGACCGGCGGCAGCAAGAGCTTTGTGGGGAGTGTAAGCAGACTTCTATTTTTAGTTGGGAGTAGGCACCCTACGCTTGGGAGCTGATTGTACAGATTCATATAAAGCAAAACAGCGAGACTAGCGAGTGCGGATGGGCATGCCAGTGTTTGTTTGTATGTTTGAGTGCGTCTGCGCGTATACATGCATGCATGCTTATATGTATACACACATACACACACACACACACACACACACATATGTATATGCACATGTGCGGCACGTTTTGCGCTTTTTGATGCTTCTGATCCGCGCATCTTCTCAAGTGTCGCACCTGATGAGACTCGCACACAGCAGCTCCCGGCACAGCACCCGAAACCCTAAGCCCGAGGCCCTAACCTGGAGCCTCCTCAAAGGATCGGCGCGGCAGGCATCGGGAAGCACTGGGATGCTTCGGTGCGCCTTCTGGCGGAGATGTGGGCTCGAAGAGTGATGCCCGAGACTTCTGCAGCAGCTTTTGGGGGGTTTGACTTTCGGGGAGTGTACTATAAAAATGAGTGTTTCCTGATTCTGGATGGTCGAAGCCATGTTTGAGTAAAACAAGTAGGTGGCTCGAGGAAGGGATCTAACACCGGGTGACAAGGTCCGAGGCTGTTGGTGCGAGGGATCAGGTGAACGGAGTCAATGAAGGTTCAGCCCTGCCTGCTTGAAGCACGATCTGGCTCCATACACTGTCAGGGGTTGGTATCGCCATTCCGTGATAAACACGAATGCATATTGCAGGCTCTGTCTTTCAATGTGTATTCGGTTCCAGCGTTGGCTGCGGCTTCAAGGCATCTTGTGCATGTTTATGGGTTGGCCGAGGAGTTTGTGCCACTTCGCAGGAAGCGTAGACTCGCCGGCAAGGGAGACCAAGGTGGACTTGAGAATCTGCTTCGCTTCTATGGTGACAGACTCCGTTGCTTGTGCCGGTTTAGGGTTTAGGGTTTTCTTTCCTTCAATCAGTCAGGATGTTCGAAACTACACGCTGGCGCTCAGCACCTTGGAACAAGCCCGACAATGGCAGCTTGCAGCATCTCGGCTCCGTGACAGGTGCAAGGAGCTCCGGCACATTACGAACCGATTTGGGATGCTGTCTTTCTGTGTCATGCACTTCAAGCGCGCGATTTTCGAGAATCACTTCTCTTGCCAGTTGCCTTTCCGCTATGAGGCCCTTCCGGAAGCATCAGTCGACAAGCGAATGACATAACCAAGGTCCCGTAAGACCTGTTGAGCTTGCCAGAGCAATGCTGGAGCATGCTTTGGGATGTTTTGGTTCCGGGCCGGACGTGTTCGAAAAAGTGAGGAAGTGATATGACGTTGTTCGTACTGTACTGTAGGGGCCTTACTTATTACCTATACTATTTTTGGGGTCCCTTATTATTAAGGCCCCTAATTTATGCTTTTGGGCGCTTGTTTGTCATTGCCAGTTGTTTGTGGTTCTGTTTGAGTTTGGGGGTTTGTTGCTTAACGGTACCCGGCCGCTGAGGAGAATAAGCAGACAAGGGGCCATGTTCTGAGTCAGTCGTGAACTGCCTAGAAGTACTCAACCTTCGAGGTTTAGGGTTTAGGGTTCCTGGCATATGCGTAGTCCAGGTGTAAAAAAGGGTTTGATGCCGTGCCCTTTCATTCACCCCCACCCCACTCCCCACCCCCCCACCCCCACCCCCACCCCCAGCCCACCCACCCCCCCAACCCCCAACCCCCAACCCCCACCCCCACCCCCCCCCCTTGCCAAAGTAGCCTTTTCTGAGCGCCTGAGGTGCACTTGCTGCTACAGATGCGGCAGCGAAAGCTGAAACCTGACCTGTGCCTCTGCTATATGGAACATTGCACCGACACACGCACGCGCAGCGCTGCAAGACATGTGTACCTGGACCCTCAAAGTATGTAGAGTAATAGCCTTTTATAGGTTTGGTGCCATTATTTTACCTACTTTTGGAGGTCTAGGTAGTGTGAATGATACCTTTCGGGCACACGCCGATTCACTCAGAAGCGGTAAAGCGCAGATCGCGGACCAGCTCGTGGCTGGATACGAGCGTACAAGTGGAGTTATCCTGTCCGTCTTGTCTATAGTCTCCTTAGGAATTATTTTTGTTTTTTGTTCATATGAAAACCCGAGAGAATATTAAACATATTCCGTTTATTATGGTGCTAAGGGGGTATAGTTGTTGGTCTGAATTGCATCTGCCGCTCTGCAACAGGATCTGCCACAGTATCGTCGCGAGCTCAGTGTTTTTGCCTGCGGGCTTTACCCGAGCCAATGTCGGAGTGTCGGTTCTGGAGTTTAGGGTTTAGCTTAAGTTCAAGGTACAGACAGAGAGCTTTTTGCTCATCTGGCGTTTGGGATCCACTCTTTGCTCTTGCATGCAAAATTTGGGACGTTAGACATGGGTCTCAGCCGCGACGTACTCATGATACACACCGCAGATCTGCTGCTCGTGCTCAGTGCCGTTGTCTTGTCGTCCGATCAACAAACACTGAATTTCATATACTCCCGTCTTCACAGCTCCGATGTGTGCAAAGATCGTTGCGTTTTCCGAGCGTCAGCTGCCCATGCGTACTGATTTAGCCAGTCAGTGCTAAAGCGCTGCTCGTTGCAAGCAGTGCCGGGCCTGGGAAGCAGTCTCTGGCAACCTAGGAGTCCCTGCCAAAAAAGGCTGGCTTGGGTTGGGGGTCCCCTACACAACGCATCGGCCTTTCCACGTCTGGCTGTGCCGGGTGTGAGGGCTGAAGCTTCGGCCCTTGTGTGATACTAAAGCTCGATCTAAACGCACAACCCCGGAACACCCTGAAGCATGACGAAGCTGACCGAAAAATACCGAAAATTTGGTAACACGCCGCATCACAGCGAAAACGCCGTGTCACACCATCAATATGAGCTTCAACCCCAAGCAAACTGCAACATACCGAATAACACCAAAAACTCTGTGTCACACCACCAATCCTCAACCCTAAACACAACCCTCTACACAACACAACGCAAAACCCTAAACCGCTAGCATAGACCATTTCTCCCGAGCTGAGGTCAAAAGGGCCCGGTTTGCCGGTCGCCTGGGGCGCCGAAGCTCTCGCAGGAGCCAACTAAAAGGGATCCGACTGGCAGAGACGAAGGAGCAGGAAGAAAGGCGATGTTCAAGGTTTGAGAGTGTTTAAGATGGTGGGTTTAGGTTGAGGTTTTCAGGGTTTGAATAAGTAAGGGGAATCAGGTGCAACAAAAAGCAGTAGCAGCAGCACGCAACAGCGCTGGTGACATAGCCGTTTTGTTTGATCACGACAGTCCTAGCAGCAATGCGTTATATATGATGCCGGCCGATGGGCGTGTAAAGCTTATTGTGACAATAGTCGTGTTCAGAATTTATAGGAGTGTACAGCGCACCTTTCGCGGCCAGGTCGGAGGTGTTACGAAGGGTTTCAAACTGTTCCGTGTTTCGGTTATTTCGGCGGGTGAGTTCTTTGCCCAAGAAGGTTTGCAGGGCGATTTCTCTCCGGGCCACGGAGCTGATTCCAGACAGTAGAGCTTTGCGCCTGGAGTTTGTTTGTTTGCGATCTTGTTAGTTTGTACTCTTCATACCGGGCTTCGGGGAATGTTTACTGAATTTTATGCCTCTCAAATATCAGAATTCCTCAACCGAGGCTGCCAAAGGTGTCTCAGCTAGCGTTCACCTGGCGGGTGCATGATCTGTCCAAGCCAGAGTCACAAAACTCTGGACATCAGCACATTCCCTCAGCAGCCAGGCAATTGCATTGTTAGGACAGTTTGTCCTCGCTACGATGGCCCCGCAGCTGTATTGCACGTCCCGCTGTTCAGTAGTTCCCGACAAGCGTTAACACTCCTTGCCATGACGAACCTTTGCAAACACCTGGAACAACCCCTATAAACACCATGCTAGATCCCTTATACACAACCGCTCTGAACCCTGAACCCTAAGGTATTACCCTGAACAAATCTTGAAAAGCCTTAAACCTAAACCCTAAACCCTGAACCTTTATAAACCCTAAACCCAAACCGCCGAATAGCAGATCACTAGTTGCGATCCGTTGGACTATGTGGAGCCTTGCCTGCCTTGTGCGAGTGTGAGCATCGAAACCAAAACCGTCTATTCCAGGACCCCCAGGCTCCGCTTGCGTGGGCAGCCGGGCGAGGGGACGGAAAGCACTCCACTTGCGCTGGCTGCAGAAGCAGAGCAGAAACAGAGCTCTCCTTGATTTAGGTTTGGGTTTAAGGGTATATTGGGTTAAAGGCTGCAGTGGTTCGGTATAGTCTAGTGTCATCAGGGCTGCAGTATTGAGCACAGAACGAGGCCGGGGCGCTATGATCAGTTTCCTTCGCAGTACACTTTGCAACCACCACAATAGGACATTTTGGTAGGGGGTGTCCGACAAGCACCATCCAGTGTTGTTTCCCATATCTGGGCATTCTGACATGTGGGGCTTTGCCGCGCATGGTCCTGGAGCGCGCTTGCTACTGCCGAAGCCGGTGAAGATCATGTCAACATTGTTTGTAGATTTACCACGTGACTGACACTAGCTTGGCTGAGAAGACCTGCAAACCCTCTACAGATGATTGCACAACCTGCCGATATCATGCCGACATGTGCGTCGGATGTGCGCGACGATGGTCAAATAGGACGAAGGCAAGAGCGACATCTTGGTAGCATTCGCCTACGACCCACGATGCTTCCATCAAGTTTGACGTGCTCCGGCACTCAGCAGCCCTATAATTGCGATCAGCCTTGAGAGCGCTAAGGCCTCAACCATTACTCCACTTCGCTACACGACCGCCTTAAACTCCACAGTTTTAGCGTGTAGCAGCCATGGTGGAGACCATGGCGAGCGAGGAGGGACAGGCCAGACTCATTCACGTCCTGAAATTCCAGGCTGTGGGTGTAGGCTTTGGGTTGCGAGTTCACGCGCATCTCTACATGAAGGCAAGATTTATTATGTTTGTTACTGTATGTGTGTATATACTTGTCTATCTATCTATCTATCTACCTATACATACACGCATACATATGTGTGTTTGTGGGTGTGTTGGTCTACAGTGTCTGAGTTTCGCTCGCTTCAGGACATCGGAGTGAATGGGGTTCAGGCCTAGGGCACTGCAGGGTGGACGGGGTTGACAGCTTCTTTGGTCGAGTGGAGTCTTCGGGATTCGAGCTAGTGGCCGTAAAAGGTTGCCCAGACAACATGCGAGATAGAGGCCGGACATGAGCAACTACTGTTGATGATGATGATGATGATGATGATGATATATATATATATATATATATACATATACATATAACATATATGAGTTTATGTATTTGTATATCCTGCATTACCCATAATAAGGAACATACTCTAATTCCCATAGTCTAGGGTCATTAAGGTAACGCAGGATTTCGATCATCAAGCCTAGCCGTAGCACGAATGTTTGGGCTAAGCCGCTGCAGCTCGCCTTAGAAGGCAATCGGAAGACTATACCTGGACCCCCAAAGGTATGTAGAATAATAGCCTTTAACAGGTTTGGGGCCATTATTTTGCCTACTTTTGAGGGTCTAGGTAGGGTTTCAGCAACTGTCCTGCCGAGGGAGTAGGACCGGCATGTGTGTTTGTGCTTGAACAGCTTACCTGCGCGTGTCCGGCTGCTCTTTACTCCATGGTCTAGTGATGCCTGGCAGTATTCTCAGCTTCCTCAAACCCGAGCATCTTGAAGCCCTTACACCTCCCCAGTGTCTAGCTTTATGACCCTCTTTTCCATCATTTTTCATCACCCCATGAGTGCTTTGGCATGATCTCGATGTTTTGCCGCAAACTCGGCCCACAATATCTGGGGGAACCAGCGAATACTAAAGAGTCTCAGAGAGCTTCGGAGCCCTGCGCCATTCTGCAGCCCATGAGCTCTGAAGAGGAGAACCGGCTCGTGTTTGCAGGGCTTCGGACCCGTGTTTTCTTCGTAAGTTGCTTCAAGACTTGAGATTTTGAGAATTCTGGGACCGGGATGAAGTGGAGACGATATCAGTGTGACGGGAAGGTTGCCTTTGAGCGGTTACTGCCGTTGCTGCGCTGCTTACGTGATGCGAGCGAACGATGTCAAGTGTCAAGTACTAGGCGTTTCACTCCTGCCCTCGTTCCATGCTGCGTAGTTGTAGCAATCGCTTTGCTGGGGCCCATTGCAGTGACATCTTTCGGACTGGGCGACTGGGCTTTGCATGTAATCAATGTCGCGGCACCGCACTTTGACGGATAATTTCGGAACATGTAGAACCTGTTACCAGGATCTGCCCGCGGATATCAAGAAAGAGGTCGTGACGGGGGCTGCAAGCAGGGCGGTATCTGTCTGTGGCAGGCATCTGCCACGTGCATCTACTTACCAGGCCACATTTTCGATTGAATGATATTGAATGTAATCGCACCATAGTCGCACCCGTCTAGGATGCCCCTGACTGACACACGCACACGCACGCGCACGGACACACAGACACCAAGCAACCCAGGTGACAAAAGCGGCATATACTGCCCGTGCACCGAAGACCGGAGATGAGGTGGACTCTGGGCGGGTAGGACTCATCAGGTATTCCGGGCAAGCAACTCGCAGTCGGGAATGTGGGTCTTGAGACTATAATTACAAGGCTGGGCATTTCTCCTCCGGATTAGATCGTTACATCCTGCGCGCTGCTAAATCTCACGACCACCCCCTTCCTGGCTGCGAGGTCCGGATTCGTTACGTGGCTGTGGTGAACAACTGGCCGGTGGACACTGTGGACACCTCCGATGGTGTTCGCTTCACGCTGGGCCGTGGGGAGGTGCCTGGAAAGCCCAGCGTGTCGGCACCATATCTCTCCCTCGTCCTGGTTAACACGGCTCTTTCATGCCCCTGTTACGCATGCTACAGAGCCTGCTTTGGTGCTGAGCAGCATGTTAGAGAAGTTCGACGTTCTTGCTCCCATTCACATCCTGAAAGAGCAACATGGACAGCGGTCTCCTGCATACTACGCAGCCTTTCTGGGCAGCTTTGGAGCCTCCATTACAGTGGCGGACCCTGATAGTACCCTAACTAGTAGGATCCTTATATTATCAGGACCCCAAAATAAGGTACTCCGGTACCCCAAGGGCCTCTAAGCGCTCCCCCGCACGTTCCTTTCTGTTAAGAAGCCGGGAGGTCATGGAGGCCTGGGACCGTGCAGTGGCCACTATGAAGAAGGCCAGATACACAGCACCGCAAGAGACCTAAGGGATGCATGAGCATTCACATTCTGGAGATTCCTCGTCACATGTGTGGGTAAAGTCGGGGGCGACTTCAAATCCAGCCATGCCAGAAAACTGCGGAGAATGATTGTGTGGATCTGTTGGGTCCTTCAGCAAAAGTGTCAGAGATTACCGCTGCCCGTGCTCGTCACCGGCACAGCCCTGGTAGGTCCAGGCTAAAGCCGAGTGCGACGGTCCCACGATGCTTTTGGTGTTGCTTCGTCGGATTTGCGTCGGCTCCACATGTTGAGATTGCCCTGGCAGGGCGAGACTTCGAAGTTCACGGTGCCAGAGACTCGTCCGCACACTGAAGCATCCATAAACCTTTGCCTTGCTTATGTCGAAGACAGTTGCGATGGAACTTAGCATTGCTTGTGCTAGACGCACCATGCGATTGTGAGCCGGTAGCGCAAAGTCTGTGCACGCGAAAGGCCCTTTTGCTAAGCTACATCTCCGACCATGCACTGGAGTTGCCTACCGTCTGAGGAGATGTACCTCTCAGGAGGGCCGGATCGATTCCGCGAGAAGCTTCCAGACGACGGCCAGGCAGCTCGGGAGTTTGGGCAAATCCCAACTGCATCGACTTGCCATCGCAGTTTTCATGTCTTCTGCTCTTAGATCTCGCGGTTATCCTTGCGGTTTGCCCATTCCGGGATATGTTAGAGGAAAGCTGGTTGAACTCTTCACCATTTCCGCTACCTTCCAGGCGTAGAAAGTGTGTTGGAGTTTTGTCCCCTTCCTCTCCTGCTCTAAACTACTAGTTACAAAGGATCTGGCTACTTGCTGACCACACTTGCTCACACTCGTCATCGTCATGATGCTCATCCACATCATATTCGTCTACCTGGCTCTCTCACCTGCCTCCTCCATCCATCTCCATCGCTATAGCATCATCACGCCCATAATTCTTAGCATCCTGTTGATACTGCTTATGCTATTGCCCTAGCCTCGGCGAGCATAATGGTCAAAATCTCGAATACTCGTAGTATCAATCATGATGCCAGGAGATGGTTTCTGTACGAAAGATCGCAGCTGAAACAGATGCCGCCAACTCTGAACGATGTTCAAAAAAGGATGTCGACGGATTCTGCCTACGCCCTGCCAGGAAGTCCTCTTCGAAATAGAACTGGTTGCTGTCAGAAGCATCACCGACCTCTTCGGCACCTTAGCTCAGCAGCAACTGGAAGTGAACAGCAGCGCGTAAGGGATCGGCGGTCTCAACACCTTGCATCCCAAACACTAAACGCCAACCATCTCTACACCTGAACTGGGTTGTCCTTAGTCCTTTGGGATCTTCTTTTTTAATTTTCCCCTACTATTTTGTAGAGAACCATAATAGTAAATAATTTCAACAGGGCTTAAAGGACAACTCAGTAGACTGAGCCCTCAACCCTAATCGAACACCCCCGTTTGGCGAGGCAGCTAGTCAGGTCTGATCCGGAACCTTTTGGCCGCTACTGAAAAATTATCTTTCCTGTGCCTGCAAACTGGTTCAGGGTCGGGTACAATGCTTAACAACCTGACCTGTTGCAGTAATACATAGTAACCCATAGCAGCTGCGACGTAGCAGTCGACATGATTCTCCCAAATGCTGAAGAAATGGCCTAGGGGATGGCGGTGCGGTGCAGACAATCTTGGAGGACGTGACACTCCGGTAGGCGAACCTTTTCGGTCCAGTCGGACATCTTTGGGCACAGGCAGTCTCAGCCTTCTGTTGATCAGTGTGTTGAAGCATCCGTTTCCAAGGAGTCAGTCGAAGCCTAGGGAAGTAACGGAGCACTTAGCCGGAGTTCGAGAGCCCGTCAAAGACACACACGCACACACATGCACTCTGTGTTGCTCTCTCTCTTTCTCACTCTCTCTCTCTCTCTCTCTCTCTCTGTGTTGCGACTCACGCATCTACATATACATGCATATATATATATATATATATATATATATATATATATATATGCATGTGTTAATGTGTCTATACGCACACGTATACATACCACACCTTATTCATTGTGATATCTTCGTGCGTTGCTCCATGCAGGTTGTTTCACACACGTGTAGCTTGTAAATGCACATATTGTGTACAGATCTCATTGCGAACCTATGCCTGCTGACCTATACTTGCCCACCTACCTACGGACGCACACACACACACACACACTTCGCCTCAGAATTGCATGGAACATGAACAAGGAGTTGTTGTTGGGGGCTCTTAGCAGTTTTGCCATGCAGGAGGGCGATGAGTACGGCCCGTCTCCGAAAGTTACGGACGAGGTCGACGGCGTCCCCGACCCCCCGATCACTCATCCACCCCACCCGCAAGGCCACAAATCGGAAGGCCCATGGTGTAGCACAGCTGCCATTGTTTCAGGCCCAGATGGAACCTGTGAATGCATGTAATCCAGAATTTTAAGCCACGCTGCCCTTTGGTATTTTGGATATCGAAAGCTGCTTAAAGAGCACTTGATACCTTCAACTTCGACGACCACACCTGGCCAGGTGCAGATCAATTATGTGCTGTCACTGCCGTCCGGCGAGGCGGGTTGCACATGGTATTGCATAAAGGCCTACTTGTCATTGTCATTATTAATTATTAAAACTATAGCAACGATGCCTTTCATCACTG